AACATTTCTCATTTTAATCTAGTTCAACTTGATGTACTAAAATAACTAAAACTGAAATAAAAATGAATAAAAACTGAATAGACATAATAAGGCAAAAAAAAAAACTGATTCAAAATATTCATAAAAACTATAATAGTATCTCAACGACACTAAAATAACACTGGGTAAATGAAGTTTATAAAATTTCCATCGTACAATTTGTATATGTACATATGTAATATCAATATGATGATTATGATGAATATGAAGATTTATGGTATTATAAGCAGCAATCATATATGTCAACAATATATATTTTATTTATGTCACTTTACAACAACATATATACAAAAAAAATGTTTTAAACACATGTCTATTTTTTATATATACTTATGTAATATCAACATGTATTGACGGGTTTTAGGATGGATATACTGTACATGTACATGACATACAGTATATGTCCAAAAATACGCATTTATAACCATGCATATTTGTATGGGCTGGATATAATTATTAATATATGAAATTGCTCCAAATTTCGAATAGGTTTCATATATGTTTTACTTCATATAATGCTATGTTTCATACATGGAAATATACAGTATGTACAAATATTTTATTTGCGTGTAAGGAGGAAACACACACGCAATGCATCACTACTGCAAGACTAAAACATACTGGATAACTAGAATAATATGCCTTTATTATGGGTGTGCATTAATTAAGAGCAACTAAATAAAATGAGACAAAATCATGTCAGTTGTGTGGAGGAGGTTAGAAAAGACACAAGATATTTTGGTGAAATAGAGCTTGAGTGAATGAGGATGGCTGCAGCTGCTTGAGCAGGATTAATAACGCAAGTGACACGCAATACAAAAGAGAAAGATTTACCTGTATGGAGAAAAGCCGGGGATAAAGCTCTGGTTTATGTGACTGTATAAAATCGGAGGTGACCTTGGCCATAGCAGCTGCCTCCTTCTTCTTCCCAGCATCGAGAAGACATTCAACAAGGTGTCTGAAGAGAAACACGAGATGAAAACAACATGAAATATGAGCCTTCACGCTGGTGTTTTACAGCATGCATTTGAAGTTCAATTGCAATCTCTTCCACAACAGACAGTAGAGTCAAGGCAAAGAGCCAGATTCGATTTGAGATCAATGACAAGGCTTATATTAGGGATGAGTTTCTTTTGTGCTCCAGGATTACATGCCTGCAACAATAAAACAGCCATAAAGGAGTTTGATCACATCGTAAAGATTTATTATGACCTTTAAAATCCATCTCTAAACAATTTTCTCAGAATAAGTGGCGTAAAACAGGCTGAACCCTGACAGAATTGAAGGTGCAGCGTATCTGTGAGCTGCAGGATCAGGATCACTGGAGATCTTTGCCGTCAATTCAGCGCTTCAAAGGTCACGGCGGCGTCAAAAGAGCATCTAAAGGCTGCGTACTTGTCCTGATTATTGAGTTTCTTATCTTTTTACCACTGATTGCATTTGCTACCGTATCATATAATAAGTTTACATATGAATCTCATATGAATTATGCATAAAGAAAAACTTTTTAGAGTTAAATTCTCTACCGTAACGTTTTTTTTTTAAATCTACATTTTTAAGTGAAACTAAACCTACCATAATGTATACAAAATACTTAGACTGAAATTTAAGATTTATGTATTTGCACTGCATATAAAATTTCCATGCATTTGGATTAAACATAGTTAGCATAAACAAACTATTAAACTTATTATGATGCATATTTGTCAGTCATACATAAATTAAACTGGTCAGATTTAATAGCATAGTTTATTATTAACTATTTGCATAATTTTTTCAAAATGCATTTATTCAAATTGCTTAGAATCAGCATAAATCTATGGAAGACTCTTTCTGCCACTGAATAAAAAAATGAAAAGATAATTTCGACTTCTAATCTCACAATTCGGACTTTTTCTTGCAATTGTGAATTTACATCTCACAGTTCTCACTTTTTTTCTCAGAATTGCATGAATCGGGATCTGACTGTTTCCTCCCAAAATTTTGACTTTTTAATTGTGAGTAAATATCCTGCAATTCTGACATTATAAACCACAACTCTTGTTTCCTCAGGATTGTGAGATGTAAGCTTGCAATTCTGAGAAAGAAAAAAAAATCGCAATTATCTATACATTTTTTTTTTTCATTCTGTGGTGAAAAAGAAACTTTGGTAACACTTTACTTAAAGCCTTTATGTATAATGCATTATAAAAGTAGTTTTAATGCATGAATTATGCCTTGTAATGCACCTTATAATGCTTTGTACAATCTCATGAATAACTGTAACCACGGTTAATTCATTATACCTTCATTGTTACACCATGCATTTTAAATTTGGTTATAATTAATTACGACAAGATACAATGTATTACAATGCACATTATGAATAATATTTATAATGCATTATACATAAAGGCTTTAAGTAACCTTTCATATAAATCTGGTCATTGTGAAAACAACTACATTTATTTAGTTAAAAAGTATGAACATGGTTAAACATGTCTAGCTGTGGAACAAGCAATGAGATTGAAACAAATCGGATTTACTGATGATACATATATAAAGCTGGTTATTATGTATTTAGTACTATTACAGAAATCTGACCTGTTGCATTTATGTATGACTGAGTTTATTCGTTTATGTTAAAACTGTATAATCCAAATGCATGGAAATACTTTATTTGCATAATCAAAAATGAGAATTGGAGGGGAGAAGATCTGATATATTTCCATTATCAAAAAACATGCTTAATTTTCTTTATGTATGCTATGATTGCATTTTTCTTTTCTATGACACTGGACTGAATTATGAACCGGACTTCGTTCTTGACTGGTTTCATGATATTCACTCACATTGTGTGCATAAAACAATAATTAGACGTGAAGCCACCTACAGCATTAGCTCAGCCCTCCATGCGTGATCAGGATCCTGAACCTCCTCTAGAGCCTCGAGCACCTGCGTGAGAGAAGAAACCAGGAGCCGTCTCTGTCCAGGCCTCAGGAACCGCCGGACGGACTGCAGGTACAGCAGCGAGGCGTTGAACACCAGGAAATGATATCTAATGAAGAAAGAACGAGGCACGGGAGAAGTTAATTATTCAAGCTATCACTGTTGGGAAGATCGGAATCCGATTTCTCACTACATCTCAATTTATACTGCGAGCGACCTTAGATCTCAAAGCGTGTGAATGAGTAATGAGCGCTTGAGCCTTTCAAAGAGCCACGGGAGGCCTCAATGTCCATGAGATATAAAGCAATTACTGCAGGATGGGCGAGGACTCTATTCCGGAGTCGCTAATTTATCCACCAGAGAACGGCAGCGAGTATCTGAGCTGTTTTCCCTCTGGCAGAGCCTGAGAGCCACTACAGAAGCAGTAAAGCAGTGATTACACATCCATCATACAACAATTACAAGTTTACAGTAGATATAACATCATCCAGCCGAGCCCTGTGCACTGGACGTCCCTTGATAGTTTGTTACTTTGCTAGTGTTAATATTTTAAAGTTAACTCCATGAGGAGTTGCTTAGTGTTTATGATTGATGGTCTGGCATACTGCTTAAATATTTAAAATCTCCACACTCGTGTTAAAGCCTGAAACTATTTAATTTCCATCTCAGAGGCTGTTACAAGGTGTTTGAGGGTGTAAATTAAAGCTGTATATGTATACAAAAATTATATTTCACATAAAAAAAATTGGATTTTGTTGTTTCTAAAAGAAGTCTCTTTTGCTCACCAAGGCTGTATTTATTTAATCAAAAATAGTGTAATATTTTTTTTATATTATTACAGTTTAAAATAGCTGTTTTCTATGTGAATACGTATTAAACTGTAATGCATTTCTGTAATCAAAGCTGTATTTTCAGCATCATTACTCCAGTCTTCAGTTGGATATACAGTTATTTTGCAACAATATAAACAATGCAGCAGTTGAGATATGCTATATAGTAGAGTATGTATCCCTTTGTGTGTATGTCCTGTATGAATGTGGGTCAAATCTAACTTTATTTATAGATATGTTATATACAATAACAAAACTGCATTTTGCGATGATATAAACGATCACAGCTGAGATTTGACATGCTAATGTAAACTCTATAGGACATCAATTGTGAGTCACCTCACCTAAAACGCTGAGCACTATTTGAGTGATGCACAAATTTGCTGTCTTGTCAGTCACTTATGAGGTTTCATTTCAGTTAGGTTGCGGCCTATGAAGGCTGATCGCTCACTAGTTTCTGGAATAGAACCATCTGAGACACTTGCCATCAGAAACGTCTCAACTAATGAAAGCCCTAAGCCTCAAACTATCTCCCAGTTGGCAATAAATATTGTGCCACATCAGGAAGCACACAATGGCCCTTGGAACTTTTTTAAGTGCTTGGGTGCAAAAAGTAAGAGATTCAGCACAAGCTCCTGTGTTCAGCTTACTTCAGACAAGCGCGGTATATATTATACACTCCTTCACTTCTGAGGGGAATGAATTCACAATGCTCATAACCCGCGCTGTCTCTGTATGAGAGTTATACTGCTCGCTTATCTGTTTAGGATTTCTCACTTCACAAGTCATTGAGCAAAAGCCTGCTCAGCTCTATTTTTGTAAGCTTTTCTCTTCTCAGGAAGGGACGCTTCAAATGATTGCTTTTTTCTGTTGGTCGAATGTGACATTTGAATTGTGTCAGCATGTAAGGGATGATTTATACACATATTTAAGGTGATATGACAACAAAATTGCTCTCTCTTCTGCTCTTGTGGATGACCAAGCAGTTTGAAAACCCTTCCATATCAGCTCTATGTTTATAACTTATGTTTCACGAGTGCAGACAGACCACCTTGTTTGCTCCTTCATTGCATATCAGCTCAGAGAGGCATTTATTTTAAAATAAAATATAGAAATTACTTGAAAAGTGAAATAAAATGTCTAACGGTTATTTAATAGGCCTATGATTGAAATTGGATGTGGTGTAATTACTATTTGTACATGGTCTAAATAAAATACTGCTATTTTCACTTAATTGTTCCTAATGCAAAAAAAAATATCTAATTAAGAAGATACTGCTATTTTCATTTAATTAACTTAATGCAAATAGCATCCAAGTACTATTTGCACTTAATGTAAATAAAATACTGCTATCTTTACTTAATTCACTCATTGCAAATAGTATCTTATTACTATTTGTGCTTAGTGCAAAGAAAATACAAAAATTTTCACTTAATTCATTTTATGCACCTAGTGTAAAGAAAATACAATTATTTTCACTTCATGCATTTAATGCAAATAAGATCTAATTACTATTCGCACTTTGTGCAAAGTTGAATGCACTGCACTTAATGCAAATTGCACCTAATTACTATATGCACTTAGTATAAAGAAAATCCTGCTATTTTCACTTAATAAACTTAATGCAAATAGCATCTAATTACTGTTTGCACTTAGTGTGAAAACATAATGCTAGTTTCAATTAATGCATTTAATGCAAATAGCATTTAATTACTATTTGCTATTTTTACTTGATTAACTTAATCCAAACAGCATCTAATTACTGTTTGCACTTAGTGTTAATGGTCTTGAGGTGAATCTCGCAAAACCTGTCAAGAACTTGTCCAGTTCACTGCAATTTACTGTATTCTAAATTAAAGTATATATATTTTAAAAAAAAATAGTGTATTACAGTATTGAGAATAAGAAGAATTACAAAAATATTGCATGCAAAACATCTGGACGCCTTACAGTAATCATATTTTTAAGGGTAAAAGGCATAAAAATAATATCGCAATGCAATAAAAATCTGTAAGTGTGACACTTAGCCTATGGCGCGGAGCGAGGAACGAGGAGAACAGGAGTACATGAACAACAATAGTCTTTTCATTCAGAATATCCAGGAAGTAACATTTGGCAGCTGGGAACACAGGAAACACAGGGGTGATGTCGACCCACGGTGGAGCCGACAGAGGAAGGAGACATGGAGGAGGAATGGCCGCTGGCTCTAGGGGGCCGACCAACGGCGGCGGAGCAGGTGGTGGAGGTGCCCGAGGCGGAGACGGAGAGCTGATGAGCCAGGGCGACGGGGAGGATCCGGAGGTCCTAGGCGGAGCAGATGGTGCCAGCGACCGACGCGGAGATGTGGATCCGGGAGGCCGCGGTGGAGCTGGAGCGACAGAGGACTGAGGTGGAGCAGAGGGGATGAAGGAGCCTGCCAGAGCCGGAGGGACGGAGGGATGAGGCGAAGCCAGAGGAGTGGAGTCCCGAGGCGCAGGATGGTCGACGCCAGAGCAAGGCGGAGCCGGAGGGACGAGGGAGCCTGGCGGAGCTTGTGGACTACCGGGCCACGACGGAGAGGAGGGAGTTAGGAGCCATGGTGGAGCTGACGGGTCAACGGGCCGAGGCGGAGTCCAGGCCTCAGAGGCTGGAGGCGGAGTCAAGGGAGACTCCAGCCACAGCGACGCTGGAGGATGGCAGTCCCGCGGAGCTCGCACCGCAATGATGGTGGGCTGAGGGTGAGCAGAGCGGCTGCCAGACGACAGCGGTGGAGGAGGCTGGAGTGAGTGGGAGGGCGGGCATTTTCGAGGAGCGGCCACAGGAGAGCGCTTTCTAGGAGCAGGCACTGGAGGCGCTTTCTAGGAGCGGGCACTTGAGGGCACTCTGAACTGAATTCAGGGGCTGGACCCCTTTCCTCGTCCTTTTGGCACTTATGCCCCGCCATACTCAGCCGCGGTGCAGGGGGCGGAGCTCCTCTCAGTGCTCACACCGTCCGTGGCTTTCTCCCTCGTGGCAGGCGTTGTTGCCGGCTCACACACCTTGACTGACGTCACAGCCTCTGGCTCCGCGGCGATCCTCAGCTCTGTCGCTCTCTCTAGCAATGGCTCGTCTGTCGTGGCGGGCTCTGGCTCTCAGTCAGCGGTGGGCTCGGGCATGCGCTCCGCCCATCGGGGACATGGTGGGCTGGGCTCTGGGTCGGGAGTGGCACTGGCGATATACTCCTGGGAACCGGTGGGGAATGGAGATCCATTTCTCGCCAGTGTCCTCCACAAAGGCGGCAAATTCCGCTCGAGGGCCTTCTTTGGACGAAGGCGCTGTGCACACGGTGTTGAGGCTGGCGTCATAGAACGCGCAGAGCATGTTGTCCGGGTAGATGGTGAGATGGGCAATAGCCAGAAACAGTCTGGTATGACCCTCAAATTTTCCCCTGCTCCAGCAGGAGGAGGATGAATTCGGGGCGAAGGAGGGGATCCATACGGGCACACAATGGAAACAAAACACACTGAGAGAAAAAACACGGAAACAAAACGGAGGGGAGACATGGAGGTAACTGTATTTTGGTCCGAGATTCTGTCACACTTAGCCTATGGCGAGGAGCGAGGCACGAGGAGAACAGGAGTACACGAACAACAATAGTATTTTAATTCAGAATATCCAGGAAGTAACATTTGGCAGCTGGGAACACAGGAAACACAGGGGTTGACGTTCAATCTCGGACAAGGACAGAGAGCACAGACTCGAACTTAAATGCAAGGGATAATTAACAAACACAGGTGTACTGAATGACTAATTAACTGGGAAGCTGAACACATGGGGAAGAAACTGGGTCACAGAGCACAACAAACAGTCCAGGGGCGTGACAGTAAGTCATGACAAAAAGTTTTATTTTTCTTTAGGGCAAAATATAATCATTTCTTTTTTGGATTGAAATATAGACATGTTTCTGTGAGATTCTCGCTCTATAAAATGACAGCACATTTTGAGATAAGCTGTTGTTACAATAATCCTGCGCTACACAAAAGGGCCGTGGAGGCGTGACAGTGAGGCAGAGAGCCGTGGCTGTTATCTAACCCAGCATTATGTCTTCAGCCTGAGAGCAGAGCGCTGCATTACTGTGAAACTCAAACCTCGCTGTCACACACTGAGATGCAGCAGGAGGGTAAATTCTGCAGCATTTCTCAGGTGTGTGTTCAAGCAACCAGCAGGGAAGAGGTTTATCCTACACTCCGGTACTTTCTTCAAGTAAAGCATCATGCGTATCCAGCTAGAGCTTTGGATTTCTTCACACCAGAAACACTGTGAGACAAGTGTATTTACTTTCCTTATCAATAAAGATTTAAAGGAGTCGTTCATCCATAAATGAAGATGTGCTAAAAATGTGCTCATCCAATATGTAGATGATTTTGTCTCAGATTTGTAGAAATGTCGCACTGCATCAGTGTCTCAGCAATGGATGCTCTGCAGTGAATGGGTGCCGTCAGAATGAGAGTCCAAACAGCTGATAAAAATATCACAATAATCCACAAGTAATCCACAGCACTCCAGTCCATCAATTAACATCTGGAGAAGACAAAAGCTGAAACACATCCAGCATTAAGACGTTTTTAACTCAAATACAACTCTTCCTCCAGTGAGTCAGTGTTCTGGTGTGAATCAGGAGAGAAATCTGCACAGATCAAGCAGCGTTTAAACAGCTCTAAACTAATATGTGGCTGGATTTTGATGTGAGAGACAACAGCAGATGCACTTTTTCACTGGAGGAAGCATTATTATGGATTATGGACTCTATGGTATTTTAGTTAATAGCGTCTTAATGCTGGATGTGTTTCAGCTTTTGTCTTCTCCAGATGTTAACTGATGGACTGGAGTGCTGTGGATTACTCGTGGATTATTGTGATGTTTTAATCAGCTGTCATTCTGACGGCACCCATTCACTGCAGAGCATCCGTTGCTGAGACACTGATGCAATGCTACATTTCTCCAAACCTGATGAAGAGACAAACTCGGATGCCCTCAGGATGAGCACTGCTCGTATCCCACACAAGTGGTTTGAGCTCATAACATACTAGCTGTAATAAACAGCTGCCACTTTACTGAAATGAACGACACTATCAAGACCTCTACTGATGAATAATCCGTGCATGTGTCTTGAATAACTATCCAGGTGAATCCAGGTAAACCTAATGCCAGAAAACAGCATAGTTCTGCCTGAAATGAAGCAGAAAGCAGAAAGAGTGGCTATCTCAGAACGTGCAGGATGGTTTACTGTGGCACCTGTAGAGATTGTTCAGCGCACAGCACAAGGAGCTCAGATCTGCCATCAGACACTGCTGGAGCTGAAGCTCGGATCAGCTCAGACGCTTTCCTCACGAACTCAGCATCTGACAACAAGACAGGGGGACAAATACACAAACATGACATTTAATATAGGAGAAAATGAGCTGAGAACACGCCTCAATCTGCCTTTATCATACAGACACTTGCTGTAATATCACAAGAAATGGGAAATATTATAAAAACACCATTTCTAAAGACATTATTCACTAACGTTAGGTGTACAAAACACTGCTAGAGAAAACAAGCATTCGTGTACTTTGTCTTTCTCCATGTGACAACTAGCCCCTTATGAACGCGCTTTCAATATAAGATAATAACACTAACACTAACAATATAAGATAATGAAACTAACACTAACTAACAAAATCCGCGCATTTAATGAATTATCGAGTAATAAACACACCATTACCTCTTTTCTCCTGGTTGTCTTTCTCCATGTGACAACTAGCCCCTTATGAACGCGCTTTCAATATAAGATAATGAAACTAACACTAACTAACAAAATCCGCGCATTTAATGAATTATCGAGTAATAAACACACCATTACCTCTTTTCTCCTGAGCTTTTGATAAATATCGTCGGATGCGAAGATCCATTTCATGCTTCAGAACAGCGGCTCCGCGGTTAAAGTTGACGTTAAAAAGAAATCTATTAATTTTTGTTTATTGTTTACTTCTTGTTTATGTTGAGTGTTGCGCGGAGTGACTAGGAGAGGTCGGACGCGTCTCTTAGCAACGGGACGCTGAACGGAAAGCGCGCGTGGTCAAACGCGTTTCCTAAAGCAGTCCAGACTTTATTATTTTTTTATTTGTATTGCTTAATGTACATAACAAGACAGGGAACAAGCAACAATGCAAGACACTTCCATTGAGACAAACACAGAGTTTACATTAAAGAAGAAAAAAAATATATATATATATATATATATAAAAATAAACACAAGGAGCAAGGATGAAAACAAAGATGTAGTCGACATAGACATTATAAAGAAAAATATACTAAAGTAATAAATAATTTGACAAAGAGAAGCATAACTTTTACGATTTTCTATTATGTTTTTGGAAGCATTTGAAGCTCTGAAACATTTGAGCAAACTCAAATAAAAATATATTGAAGGAAGGTTTAATTTTTTTTCCATTTACAAGTATGGATATGATATTTACCCATCAACAAAACAACATCAGAGAAGGATGAATTTAAATCACACTTAAAAAAGAGGACATCTTGTAGGGTTACAGGAGGAATTGTCTCCATTTTTACTGACAACCAGCTAGCAGACTTAAAACATGCTGCAAATATTAAACGCTTAATATCACTATTGAAATGTTTAAGGGCATTATTTTAACTAAATATAACATATGCATGGATTAAAAATAACTATACATTACAAAAGGTGCAAATCGGCGTCCATACCGATTCTTTAACCTGTCATTTCTTTCAAATGTCTACACTTTAAAATTATTCTATAATAAAATAATTAAACGCAGAATATGCATTTTCTCCTTCAGTTCATCATCCATCCCTGAAAAAAAATAATCAATGTTAAAAGTCCCTTGATGTTTATATACGTACAATATGATGTAAACTTTTTTATAAATATTAAACATTTATTATCATAATTTTAAAGCATTATTTTAACTAAATATAACTAATAATATATCATTAAAAACAATATATATATAATTTTAACAAAAACTGAGTACAAATTTAAAAAGGTGCAAATCAGCGGCTTCTTTTCATTTTTTAAATGTTTGACATTTGAAAGAAATGTTTTATATAATAACAAATAAAAATGCAGCATGTTATTTTTTTCCTCAGTTCATCATCCATCCCCAGAAGAAAAAAGTTCTATTCTCAAACATTTATCTTCAATGTGCTTCAGAGACTTCGATTAACTGTGAGATTTACAGTAGTGCATCCGAGCTGAAAGTATATGTGCTGAAAGTTAGAATGAGCTCCGAACATCACTCTTGATTTAGTAGTTTTTAAACTTGCCAATACATGATCTAACAGCAATCTGAATTTAGTCAATTACAGCGAGCTCGTTTGCTCTCAGCTGGTTGTACACTGGTTTGTAGTTGCACATCTAATGGCTCTTTGAGGATGAAGTCTCAGCGTGAAGCGTGTTTTGTTAATTCAGTAATTCAGTGTTTGACAGGCCTCTGTTCAGCAGCTGAGAAATCAGCATCACTCCTGGAGAAGAGACTAGAAACACTCTCTCATGTCAAACACTGAGTGGACAGAGAGACAAGCAGACACAGCGCTTCTGTTTGTTATTGCGTCAAGTTTAGGGAATAGTTCAGATATCAAGAGATAAAGAGAATATAGTCAGAGTATTGCACATTATTTCTACTTAAACTCTTACCTCTGTTGCAATCATTCTTCTTTAACCCTATAAAGTCTCATATATGAAATAGTAGTCAGAAAAATAACAATTATTGAAATGGGACTGTTTATTGAATGTTTAGACTAAGTTGTTTTTTAAGTAAAAAAAAGTTTGCATATGCCTTTTTTTTGAGTATCATATTTGATGCGTCAGACTTTTATGGCTCATATAGTCTGATAATGTGAGAATATGGAGGAAAAAACTGCTCGATTTTACTGATATTTGTATGAAGAAATTCTGATGCTTGTTATGTAAATCAGTGAGATCTTTATAACAGTAGAGCAGATACTGACATAAAATGATCTAAATATCAGTCGTCACTATATCGCCAATAATATGTCTTAGTAAGATGAGACTGAAATGATCCAAACATATAATACAATGCAATCCTGATTGAGAGATGAAGAAATAAACGCTCCTCAGAAGCAGGGATGGATTATGACTTCAAAAGGCCCCGGGGCCAGTTACCTCCAAGGGTCCCCTCCCACCTTTTTTTCCACCATTCCCATTCTTTCCCTTAAGCAGCACATTCACAGTAATATAAACTGAAAGTTGAGATTATCACGAATATTCAAACCATTCTCACTCCACGTCAAATGCCTGTGCAACACCTATGTTAATAAATCATCTGTACAGCAGTTTGGTTTTTATTTTTATTTTTTTGTTACGCTGGTGGAAACAACACGACACCATATACTACAGCGACTGTCTAGACCGGCCTGGGCGGTGTTTAGTGTCTCGGCCAGCGGCAATAGAAGTGAGCTGGAAGAGTTGCAGAAGAAAAAAGGACTGGAATAAAACTAGGGCTGCCCACGACCAAAGATTTTTACCAGCTGTTTGTTGAGAAAGATAATTTAGCTCTTCAGCGATTAAGCTATTTATTGATAAAATTGTGGGGCAGCGCTGAGAACTTTGTGTTGGTGAAAGTGCTGTGAGCTACAGTGAAGACAGCGCATTAGAACTCTTCTAATTTTTATTTTTAATTTTTTTAAACGTAGAGTGTTAATTTGTGCAAATGCATAACCTACCAGCTATGTAAAGATGACATTTAAATATATTAGAATGAGTACATTACAATATAAATTTATTAAAACGAGTACATTATTTATGGGCTTAAAAACAAGATGCAAACAATCAGTCTAATTATTAGTTAATCACCTCATTGTGCTCACCTGTCTGTCCCTCGTTAACTGCCCTATAGCTGTTCCTGTCTCTTGTGTTCTAGTTTGTCGGTTATTATGAATGTTACCCCGAGTGAGTGAGTGAGTGAGTGAGTGAGAGAGTGAGTGAGTGAGTGAGTGAGAGA